TGAGTGTGTGTGTGTGTGCGTGTGTGTGTGTGTGTGTGTGTGTGTGTGTGTGTGTGTGTGTGTGTTTGTATTTTCCTTTTCTATCATATCGAACATCTATCGTCCCTATCTTCTCTCCTTCTTTGTATGTCATTGTCTGACCCAGGGCAGCCTGAACTTAGAGAGATACAGCTTGTCAGCAGACAGACCGTCATACTGGTTTAAAAATGAAATGTAACGGGAATGTTCTGTGTGTTTATATACTATGGGTAAGGAATTTTTAAACTTTATAATAGTAGACTTGAGACATATATTCTGACCTCGTTTACTACCGAATCTACAACAACACTTAAAACAAATATTTAGGTGAAACAGTGCTACTTTCACACCTCGAGACTTATTTTCCAAGAAAGACACACGGAATACGTCACTATAAATTTCATACAACAATTACTTGCCCATAAATGTTGCAAATGGGAACCCAGGCGATTATTTCATGACCTTTTCAAACCCAAAACAAATAAAATATACAATAAGAAACTATAGCTTGTTCACATTGTCTGACCACGTTAAACATTTAGCTCGTTTATTAAAAGAGGTCTAGCTGTTTACAAAAGCTATTTTCATTATTAATTCATCGTTTCAAACCAAACTTTCATACAATATGTAGTACCCTCCAGGAAATAATCCCAAACGTCTTTAAAAGTTCCAATCCCAATCTTATGTTATTTAATATCGACAGCAATATTTAAAATATAAAACATTAAAGAAAATCCTAACATTTTAAAAGCCAAGAGGCAGTATGCTATTTTTATTTATTTTTTTTTTACAAATATCAATTATTGAGTAGCAATATGTATAGGTAACTGACTAATATTTGTTTAACATTCTACCAATATTCTGTAAATGTTTTTACTTTGATAGTGAGGTACCTTTTTTGGCTGAAATTTTGAGCTTAAAATGACTTTCAAAAGCAGATTTCTCAGGCAGTAACTTTTTTTTTAAAGCAAACAAAAATAATCAACGACCTGTAATAACCAAATCTGTATCACAGAATCTTGATTTGTAACTGAGATATTAGGATTTTCGTGACACGGGGTCTTTCAAAAATAAAGTTTTGTAAAAAAAATATATATTTAAAAAACACAACCGCTTTTTAAAATGTCACAGTGTTACTTGAGAGTTACTTCCTTCTAGAAGTTCCAGTAACACATGCACTATCATTTCTTATCACATGCACTATCTCATTTCCGTAGTTATGAATAACCTCAAAACTAGAACTTTACTGAACCAAGTAGACACAAAGAAAGAGAGAGAGAGAGAGAGAGAGACAGAGAGACAGAGACAGAGACAGAGTCAGAGAGACAGAGACAGAGACAGAGAGATGAATGTAGATCTAGTAGTAGAAGAACAAGTTTGCAATGAAAGAGAAGATAGACAGAAAGAAAACTATAAATCCACAGCGCAGGTATATTAATATAATATGTGTTTGTGCCTAGACAAAGGTAAGGTACCAAAGGTCGCCCCAGACAGTTTCGAGCTACAGACAGATGATAAAGACAAAAATCACTTCTTTGACCACAATGAGTCTCCATTAAAAAATGATAGATCCACCATGTTTCTCTTCCCTGCTATATTTTACCATGGAATTCCATTCATGATATTGATGTCAACTGAATGCCAAATGGGACATGAATTTTCCATGATTAAATACTTTTGAAAAATCATTCTTTTTAAAGTTTGTATGTGTTCTCACATTTGTTAAACTTAAAAGCTCATTTTCTCAAAATACTATCTTAATACCCTACCTCGCAAAATTTACAACATCTCAAAAACTAATTGAGATATCTAAAAATTCAAAGACCCCTGTATTGAGCATGAGAACCCGTTAATATGTTACTATCCCTCCTTTGGGAAATGGCCTAAAGACAACTGCAGTCAGTATAACTACCCTGGTGGGGGAATCATGGTCTTAGTGACTCAAAACGGCCAGAGAAGTCAGATAGAACCTTATAATTTTGAAGTAGCAATTTGACGTTAAAATATTTTTTTCCACAACATATCAAGCTTTTTTAAAACACAATTCTTTAAATATCTTGATAACGAATCTGAATAATCTTACAATTTTGATACAGCAGATAGAACATTGACGTCAAGGGCATTTGCATTACTTCATGGATATGGAAAAACATCAAGAGGCTGCCCAGGATAGAGAAAGGTGGAAGGTGTTTGTCCGTGGCCTGGTGCAGGGTGAGAAAGGCAATGATGATGATGATGAACATTTAATTAAGTTGAGGTTTTTTAAATCTCGTGGTCTCAGGAACTCAAAACGGCCAAAAATGTTTTTTCTTTTTTTTTAAAAATTTCATTGGTCTTAGTCAGTCTTAGTTACTCAAAAAGGGTTCAGATAAATGTCTGAGAGACCTTAGTAATTCTGGGGTCTGAATCCACATGCCGGTGCCCACTCAGCTGTGAACGGTCGGACCGATGGGCTTCTACTTTGTCTGCTGGCCTGTAATTACCCACCGACAATCTCACTCGGCGACTATAATATAGGCCTAGAGGAGGAGGGGGGGTTGGT